GTCGGGCTCCTGGAATGAAAAAAAAAACGACAATTCTTTGAAAATGAGGTTACAGGTATTAATATCTTAATCAGAAATTGCACAGGGAAGAATTATTTTTTATAATAGAAAAGAAATTGATCTAGAAATTTCGTATAATTGGTTTTTAAAAACTCCAATACTGTAATAAAAATTCCAATACCATGTAGTCACAGCCATTAAAAAAAAGTTACATAATAAATATACGTCTAGGGCTTCAATCAGTTCGTGTTATCTGCTTGCTTGTTTTGAATACTCCTAAAATCGAACGAGCCACGCGTATGTAGAATTGTATTGACAGGTTTACGCTACACTGAACAAATCCGCCAGATTGCCGTCCCAGTGCAGCACAAAGAACTGACACTTCAGTACAATACTGGAGGATCCAATGGTACCTTGAAAAAACTATCTACAGAAGAAATTAATTCAAAAGAAAAGGGAAGAATAAATGAAAACTACACCGAGAGAACACATAGGAAATATGTATCACCATAAATCATTTTCATAAAGGTCAGATGAAAAGATATTTTTGTAACAAATGCTCAAAGGATACCTCGTAATTTGTCGCCAGAGGGTACCTTAAAATATTATTTTTCAAACAAATGACTATAAAATTACTTAATAATTTAAGATAGTGACCTCATAGACATCTAAAATATTTTCAAAGAAGGGGAAATCTATTAAAAAATATTTTTCAGGCAGGTTAACAGTGCCATCTGTCGTGAAAAAAAAAGCTCAGACGGCCTTTTCTTTGAGCATTTGTTACAAAAACTATTATATCTAACTAGTACGAACGAATATAAGACTCGTGTGATTGGTACACTCGTGTCTTATACTCATTCGTATTATCTAGATAAAATACTATTTCACACTATTATAATAAAGTACATAAGAAATTGGTACATATGAGTTATATATATATAGATATATAACATATATCGAGCCTGGAATATTTTTACTCCCTCAAAAGAATCCTATCGAGTTTTCAAACCCTCAGCGAAATCTGGTTGGCAGTGCAAACAAAATTGCGTATACGTCTTGATAGAAGATTTTTGGGGTAAAAAAGCATAAGAGAAGGGATAAGGGGAGTCCCGTTCTCGGGTTACTGTTCACACGAACCACCGCTGTCACCGCTACCACCGCTCGTTCTCGTTCTATGTCGAGAGTTGAGAGATGACAGGAGTTTCCATGTCGACCATGGCCGCAACTTCTCCCGGAGGGCGCATAGCGGTATTCTGATAGTAATATTAAACTTACTCGATGCCTCTGGCAACTAGAAATTCTCTACCTCTTTCATATACCACTTCTCTGCTCAATAAGCTCTGAGGATGCAACTAAATATATCTATACGATTCCTACTGTAGCCTAACCTAACCTAGAAAGATTAGCATTAAAAAGCATCATAAAAACGACATAGGACATAGATATGATTGGCTGGACAGAAAGTGATGGGGGAAAAAAGTAAAAAATAAAAATTATAAAAAATAGTTGACGGTACCGCGGATTTAAACGTTTCGTATTCCCTCGAGCATGAACTACTCGAACCGTGGCGCACGAACAATTGCTCACACGATCGAACAATTTCGATAATTGCACAGTACTCGTTTGCTTTATTTTTTCTCTATTCTTTTTTGCCGCCCGTTTCATTTTGCTTTGTCTTTTTCCTCATTTTCTTTTTTTTTTTTCATTATTTTCGTAATGGATTCGTAATCGCTGAATTCGCTTGTACGATGCTAATTGTGTTATAAGTTTACGTGACATCTATCTTGGTTCAGCATACATCGGGGTAAAAAAGTGATGATCTAACATAGAGAAAGTCCATTATTAATTAGATGTTATCTTCTGAAATTAATAATTTTTTGCTATACTACAAATTCATCATGTAGCATCGTGCTTATAAAGTCTCAGGCTCAAATACGGAACTTTTAATAATTGTCACTTTTAAAAATGAATTATTAGTACAGAGCCATATGGAAAAAGCTACCATCCGCGTTTCAATAGTAAATGTCTCATGTTAATCATCTTGAGATCTGAAATATAAAATATGTAATGGACTTGGCAGATTTGAGAAATGAAGTATCGCGCTTGAAAAAGTATAGTTAACGAAATTTTTCACTGGAAAATATTATTGAAAGATATGAGAATAAGGTCGATTTCATATTACAATCATGGTGATTTCCGCGGCGAAATAGTTGATAATGATGTACATACATCGTCAGTTGTGTTGTCACTATCGTCAGAGACTCCCGAAAAATTCAATGGATTTTGTTTGAGATTAATGATTTTGTGTTTGCAGTCAATAGATCAATAGTCAAAGGAATATCGAAAATTGGAATCTTTTATACCAATACCAAATTCTGCATAATTTATGCATCGCAGAAATTAATAAAACCTGTTACGACCTTCTAAAATGATTTCACGACAATACAAATTTGTATGCCGAAAAATAATATTGACCTACTTAGAAACCCAGAGAAAACGGCCCTTCGCCCATGAAATACCTTAGCTGGCTTGATTCAAGGAAAAAACCTCAAATATTTTCAAATTTCTCTCAATGATATCTGATATAATAATGGGCACACCTTCAATGGATGTAAGAAGTAACGTCTATTGTTATATTAATTGCGAACAAATACGTAACAATAATCTGGATTTATCTAATAACGTAAAGTAAGACCGCGTGTAGGGGAAGGTCAGATTTTCAGTTCTTCAAGAAATGTTGACTGTCCCTGCTTTTGTTCCGTATATTTTTCACGATTTTCATGACGAGCTTTAGCTGCACTGGTCACAAATAATTTTTCTATCACCTCAACAAGCGGTATTTTCGTTTCTCCATCTTTTTATTATCTTTTTTGCTCTTTCTTATCCAATAGCATCTCCCCAGAACGCAACAAAGGCTTCGAGTTTCAGCGGTTGATAGAGCGGGCAAGAAATCTGATTGTAAAGAACACCTAACACCTCCATTTTTCCAACATCCGAGCCCCGCAAACTCTATTTCTCTCTTTTATTATTTCTCTCTCAAAGAAATATCGCGACTATTTCAATTTTCGCTGATATTGGCGAGCGATAGACGAGGGACGCCTCAGGGTAGCCGAGCAATCCTTTATTTTATCCGATGCCTGTATGGGCGTGCATTCTTAGCTACCTTCAGTATCGCATATGATATTTCGCATCTATACATAGGAATGTATGTATATAGGAATGTATATAATATACTACACGTAGATTACATATGTACAGGTCATGAATACATGAAAAGAGGAACGATGCCATTGTCCAATAGTCGAGTTGTATTTGGCGGGAGTGAAACGCCCTCGGACGGAGCAATGTGGCTTTTTTCTACTTATAAGTAGAAAATATACTTTTTAAATATATGTATATATTTTATATAGTTTATTTAATATATATTTATTGAAAATGAACAAATTTTTAGATCACATAGAACGAACATTTTGGGGGTTTCGATGTACATTGTGTTTATATCAAAACATTTACACGCATATACAGAAAAAATTATACTAAATATAATTGGTGGAGAATGATAAAGTAATTGCTAATGTAGTCTGAATTATCATTATCAGTGGAATATTAACAAATAGGTCTTTCATAATATGAAGAACAAAATCGTCGTATATGAACCTCCAGATAAAATTCGTTCGAAATAGCACGTTAGGTAACCTACTCCAGCATATATATGTATATATATGTATAACTCATCATCATTTCTTTACCAAACACACGAATGTAAGTCTTTTTTAAAGTCAACCCTGAAGTCACCCTAACACGTACAAACAGTTATTTATCCAAGGGAAACACGAATTTGCATATAGTGGCCATTACGTATTTTGTTGCCGCAACAGGCAATAGGTACCGTGCATTAGAAACAACACCTACGACCGGGTGAAAAACATCAGACTCTAGTGGTAATGAGGCTAGCTTTTTCTGTTTCCACGTAAAAAAAAATATTCAAATGGAAATAATTCTTCACTTTTCAGCTAGGCTTACATCATTCCTCGGAATCCTTTGCCCACTTAACCAAGAATCACATCTCCCACACGTTAAGCTATCTACGGCCCACAATTGCTTTGTACATTTGGAATATGTATGCGGGCCGCTGACTTTTAACCTAAAAATTGTTTGTCGTGAGACAGTTTGATCTCGCGTGACCGCCGATTAAATGCCAGGTTAAGTGGTTAACCAGCTTTCCCCGCTCAGGCTTGTAGAGGTCCAACCATAAGTACCCCTTGAGCTGCTCCAAGAAGTATCTTCCATATAAGTACCAAGGACAGGTTTCCCATAACGTAGAAGGTCAGTACCTAGACGGTACGATCCATCAAATCATTCATCCATCTATCTAGTTGCCCATCCATTGGCAAATCACAAAGGCATCTTTCCGTCTTGACGCGGGTTCGCCTTTCACTGACAATGGGCTGCTGGAGCGTATTAACCGAAGGGGGCTATCCTGAGAATCGAAGCCGTCGAGCTCAAGCCATAAGGCTTGGACGTGTGCGCGCGAGTCTTGGTACAGGTGTGTGCATAAATCTCGTAACTAACCTACCCTAGGCCACCCTGGCACGCTCCAAGTCGGGACGGGCGAGGCAGTTCGAGAAGAGCGTGCGCGCGATTATCTCGGAGGGTTGCGCGCTTTGAAAATCTCTTGTGACTGCCAGTTCTAGAAGGACAAGGAGAGTGAGAGTAAGTGAGAGAGAGAGAAAGAGAGAGAGAGAGAGAGAGAGAGAGAGAGAGAGAGAGAGAGAGAGAGAGAGAGAGAAACGGAGGAGTATTCTTCTACTAGCCAGCTAGGCAGCCCCAACATCAACGTCGAGTCTTAAGCGTGCACCGGAGTGGGATTCTTAGAGAGGGAGTCCCACCACTGAAAATAGTGGGAGAGCGTGGAGTGGGAGTATGGGCATTTGGCGAATGGTGGGGAGAGGCCGCAAGAGTACGAGAGGGTAGTGATTGTGCTACAGTCGGACCGCGACACCCCCACGAGTGAAACCGCGCGCGCCAACGTGCCCTCAGCAACCCAAGCGTCTGAACAGTGCTATGCTTTTAAGACTGCACCAGCTGTCGACTTGAAACGACCCTCGCCGCTAGCCCCTTTTCCATCGTGCCACGTATCGCTCTCACCCTTCTTCGAGACTCGACTAGTCTCTCGTCTCTTTTACCAGCCCGAGCCACATCGCGCGCCAACTCCCCGCGGCAGAGTATTAATCGGGTAAGTGGTTATAAAACTAGAGAGAGAGAGAGAAAGAGAGAGAGAGAGAGAGAGAGAGAGAGAGAGAGAGAGAGAGAGAGAGAGAGAGAGAAACGGAGGAGTATTCTTCTACTAGCCAGCTAGGCAGCCCCAACATCAACGTCGAGTCTTAAGCGTGCACCGGAGTGGGATTCTTAGAGAGGGAGTCCCACCACTGAAAATAGTGGGAGAGTCACATCTACGCGACTTTTCACCTTTACTCTGGGATGACACTACCTTGACACTTTATAAGAATCTACTAGAAATCTGGACCACTGCCAATGACGCGTTCGGTCGATGTGCAGGAACCTGTTGATGATCAAGCGTTATTTTTTTTAACTGCTGAATTTACGGATCGTGAATTCTTTTGACTCCTGTTGTGTCTTGAGAGTTTATTATTCGTCAACGGGACATTTTTAATGGATTGCATTTGTGCACGAAGAATTGTGGATCATTGGTAATTGTTTTCTTAACGTTCTTCATATGATAGGATTATGCTTGTGTATCCGTAGGTATCTTTGAAACTGTGTTTTGCTTGGGAGCAGCTGCATGATGACAGTTTTTAATATTTTTTTGTGTACTTACTTTCTTTTCTTTCGTTTTGTACTTTCGCACGAAATTTATATTTATTTTGACATCATATACTTTTGGGAGTAACTTTCATAGAGAAAAAGTTTCTATACGGAAACCACCTTTTCATGCCAACTTTCACGGCGCAAAACTTTATTGATTGTGCTGAATTTTTGACGTGTGTATCAAAGCTTCGAAGGATTTGTCTCTTATTATTGAGCTCGGTGAGATTATTGGTCCATTTTTTTTATCTTCTGGGACTTCTCCACATCACACGATCATCTCGTATAATAATTCTAGGTAGTTTTAGTCAATGAGGTTCGAGACAAATTTTTGCCATTGGGCAAAGTCTTGCTTGTGTCCGTGGCAAAGGTTTGTAACGAAATTGTAATTGTGCCGGTGCGAGATTGGACGCTTGCTATTATCGCACCCTCGGCTAGTTTCAAGATTCAGCCACGGATCTTGATCATTGATTTTGGGCTTGAGGATTACCCCAACCCGGTAACGAAAGACGACTATCAGGCAATAGTGAAATAGGATTTCGATTATCGCGTTGACATGGCCTACCTACGATACGTCCCCTGTGCTGATCTTGACCCCCATTTTCAATTATTATTCAATGGTGTTACGTAAATGTATTTATTATTTTGGTCCTTATAGGAGTTCTTATATCTATCATCTTCTAATTCTCGAGATTTGTCAAGTAGCTCTAAAGCTTGAACAAGTTTTTTGGTATCCGCATAGTCGATCGTTGCTAGTATTTCATGCACTTTCATGGGCATCTGTTGCACAATTGCATAATGGCTCTCATATACCTCTAATCGTAGTGATAAATATTGCACTACTCTAACATGGTCGTAAAAATCCGATAGTATATTCCCATCAGACATTCGATATCTTCGCTCTTGCAACCTATTTTTGATACGGATTCGCACCGATACTGAATAAAATTCCACCTCAAATTTAGTTTCGGAAAAGCTGATAATTTCGAAATTCCTCACGATGTATTAAATTCCAATTAAGAGCTCTACCCGTTAAACAAGTTTCTATCACGCTTATCTGACTTTCATGAAGCATACCGCTTACACGAAAATATTGTTCTAATTAACGTAGAAATTGTTTTGAATTGGCTACGCTATTGTCAGAGAATTTAGGAAGCGGGACCTCGACTCAACTCCTATGAAGTTTTTTTTATAAGTTTTTCCATCAGCACTAAACTCGAGCCATTGATTGACGAACTTGACGGAGTACTGGGAGCTTCACGACATTCTAACGCTGATACCCTATTACGCACTGTTGTTAATTCGGCACGGAACGCCTGCATTTCTCTTCTCAGTTCAACGATTATGTCCATTGTCCGATTACTTTGAACCGCGTCCATCCTGACCTCTCACGCCATATTACTTGCGTTATCGGAACTATCACTATGATCCTCTTCTCTCTCACAATATTCAAATTATCATCAGCAGCCCTTCTCTACATTCTCGTTTCAATTGGAGAATATGCTATACTCATTATAATAAAATTTCACTATACTTTCATTATTCTCTTGAATAGTTCCTATTTTGACTTTTTATTGGACGTACATTTTATAACAATAATTTTATGTATATTACTATTTAAATAATAATGCTTACGTACATACAGTATTAGCGTTCGCCTTGCAGATATTCGATGATTCGTTAAACTAAATTGAGGCCCTCATTTTTAATATGTCGGATATCGTGATAAGTGATTATGCTTTTCTTATTATTTTCCAAACTTTCAATGGACGAAGCCAATATATTGGCCCAAAAGCGGGTATATTTCATTCAATTCCATGAGAATAAACTTTCTGGACTGACGTGTTGCACGGTTGACAGGCAAATGGGACGAGTGGGATGAATTCGGCAGTATAAGCGCTGAACTCGGCGGCACACTGCCAGCACGAGGGCGCTCAAGTATCACCTTGCTATTTGGCGCGAAATATAATTTGTTGCATGTTTCTAAATCAAACATTTAATATTCCCACCCATTTCTAGACGAGCGAGTTGTGAATAATCGCGATATATACTTGTCAAAGGGTAGTTATAAGGACGTGTGGCCCTCACAACGGCAAGCCAATGTGCTTTTTTTTCAAACTAAATCTTGAGACATGTGGCATTGGAGTTCTAACCTAATGTAATCTAACAAAACCATTTCTTAGCCCATCACAACTCCAAGTGTCTAACATGAAAAATTCTTTGGAGAATTCGGTGTGAGTGCCGCTTTATGGTCCTAACAGTATACCTTACGTATCAAGATGCCATCAGGCCCGTCCTGACCTAACACTGAGTCCTGACACTAAGTGTCCTCATAACTTCCAATATTGAAGACAAAAAGTCCTGAGAACTAACCTTCTTAAAAAATATACATACACACATCTATATGTATTCCTATTATAGAGGTACGTAGGAAGTTCTGTCGAACGATTTCCACTAAGCCGCGGTTTGAGTTTATAATTGTACGTGAACTTTCCACCCTCATAGCTCGACGTTCTTTTTCTTTTTATCTCTCCACCACCTCTTTTTTCTCTTGTCTCTTAGTCATCTTTCTTTTCCTTCATTTTTTCTTTCTTTTCCTCTTCGGCTATTCGACGGACCTTTTTTGTACCTCTTTTATATACGGTAAAACATTTTATCGGGCCGCCACCAGGCCTCATCGCGATACCACCTCATGACTACCACCCGTGTAATTCCCAATTCTTTTCGTTTCATTTCCGTTTTGATTTACACGCTGCGGAATCGACCCCTACGACGCGTCCCATTACTTTGACGGCAAATTTTTGACATGCTATTTCCCGGCCGAGTAAAGAATAAGCGATATTCGGATAATCTTCGTAATTTCTTTATCATGTGCTCGACATTTGTATTCAACCTGCCTTGACCTAACCTTAATCCCCTTATCGTTCGAGCGGGGTGAATTTTTATACTAGTCTATTTTTGTAAATGGTGCTTACTGAAGAATGAATTTTAATGTCATTATAATAGCAGTTGTGTGCCAAATAATTTTGTAATATCTTACGATGGCGGAAAATTTCATTTTTATGTTGCTCTGTTATCTGTCGTTTAACCTTGATTTTATATCATAGTCTTTTTGTCGGGGGACAATAGTGTAATAGTCATGGCACATGTTTCTTTAATCCATTTGAAAATTGATGAGGATGATAATTTTCTAGAGATTTTGTCTCTCTTTCAACAATTTTAACAAAGCAATTTGAAACGGTATGTGTAAACTGAGTTGCTCGTGAGAAATAAAAATGTTGTGAAATTATGCGGAAAAATTGAGAACTTAAAAATGACATTACAGGGAAATCTATTGGAATTTGTATATGAATGCCATCTTTAAGGGTGACGTTCATTTTCAAAGATGTAAATACCTTCGTAATTTCTACTATAATTACATATTTGAAATTCACTTTCCTATAGAGCGACAATGGAAACATTAAATGATCCCTCTTGAATTATATCTGATATCGCCCATTGAAATCTCGTGTTATCAATTTCTAATAAGGCCCAAGGGAATCTCTTTGAATGCAGTCACAATTAGTTTCTGTAACTATGTATAGCATATATGGTGGCAAGTACTATAATGTTTTTTTCTTTCACGTAAAATTCTAAATTTTAGTTTAATACCACATCGCCATATCTGGCAGTGACGTTGTCGGTTTTTCCGGGAATTCGGACGTTATTGCAAAAAATGCGACAAACGGCAGATGTTACGAGTTTTTACGGTTTTACCGGTAGGTACCCGCTATCCAGCCTCTATTGAATTTCAGTCGAAACGGCATTACGATGTGATATTCATTTTTGGTGGTTTGCAAGAAAAGCACATGGTACCAAAGACAAAATAATTTTCCATACCTTCGCAAGTTTTATGACGTGCGCACGCGCGGAAACATATATCTGCGAGGCCGTGTGATACAAATGAAATTTAGCCACGAGTTACCACTCTGTGTCGATTTCTATCGCGATAATATTACAATTAGGTGGTGCGCAACAGACTGTGTAATTAACAGGATATATTATCTTTTAATCAACACACCTTACTCCTCGTGTATGCTTAGATATTACTCAACCAAGGATAAAAAAAGAGAAAGAATCGCTATCCCTCGCTATCACGGAGACCGAATCTCGTGACCTTTTGAAAAACTCCACCTCCTTTCTTGCCAAACTTTTTCAACCCTCCTATTCCTTCTATCGATTTTGTTCTACCATGTGAACATATGAACATATCTGACCCGGGTAGCTTTTGACAAAGTCTACTAAAATACTTGATATCGGAAATGATGAAGACAGCACGACAATATATTTTTTAATATAGATTCCAAGGATGTGTTTAATGTTGTACTATTGTACTCGCTATTCGACTCCGAACATATAATCTTTTCTTTT